CGTTATTTCTGTAAGTCTTCAGGCACTAAGTTTGTAACTAAAGGTTGACTAGATTGTCAATTTTGAGTGCTCAGCACTCGTCAGAACTCACAATATTCAGGATGAGTTAAACCCCCGCCTCCCCATCTTGCTCGCCCTTACCACTAAAACATTGGTTTTTTTGTTTGCTTTGTTTTTGTTTTTGTTTTTTGCCTGGAAGCCTACAACGTTCTTGGCTATAATAAATCAGGAATGAACTAGGCAATACATATCTTTTCTTGCAATTTCCAAAGTTTCTCCAGCAAGAGCTTGAAATGTGCTAAGGCAGGCTGATTGTTTAATGCGTCGTCTCTTGCTGCCATGCTGTTCATCACTCCCAGAGAGGACCCAAGTCCCAGGAGTCAGGATTTGGGTACCCCAGCATATCACCAGGGCCCTAGCTTAGTCTGTGGGGGCCCTCATTGTCCCTGGGTGGCCACCCCAAAAGTCTCTTGTCCCCAGCAGCCCAGCCAAACCTATGACAGAGGGGAGCCCAGGCCCCGCAAGTGCAAAGCAGAGAAGAGCCTGCCCTATTTCTTGCCCAGGAAACGACCAGAGAGGCTGTGCGATAAGGAACCCCAGGGTCCATGAGGATTCTGATGTCACCCTGCTCCCATGTTATGTTATCTTCCAGGAGCTGGGACTTCCTCTCCCCTCACGGACTCTCCAGGACAGAGAGCCAGCCAGTGAACTCTCCCAGGGTCTTTTTAAGGTCCTGTCTTTTGGATGTCTGCCCAACTCTGTCTGCCTAGCTGTACCTTCTGAGAAGGCCCTGAGCTGCCTTGCTGCCTGAGATTTCTCGCTGGGGTTTCTTTTTTATGCAGCCCTGATGGTAGACAGCTGAATGCACAGGGGGTACATTTCTTCTTCAGGGAAGATCAGACAAAGTCTGCAGGGAGCTCAGCAGAGCTACCTGCCCCCAGCCCAGCAGGTGATGCCTCAGTTTAGCCCTGAATGTCCAGAGAAAACAATTTTTCTTTTTTTTTTAATGTTTATTTATTTTTTTAGAGAAAGAGAGTGAGACAGAGTGCAAGTGGGGCAGGGGCAGAGAGACAGGGAGACACAGAATCTGAACCGGCTCCAGGCTCTGAGCTGTCAGCACAGAGCCCAACTGGGGCCCCAACTCACGAACCACGAGATCATCACCTGAGCTGAAGTCAGATGCTCAACTGACTGAGCCACCCAAATGCCCCAAAACAATTTTTCTTAAGAGGACTTGTACCTTCAATGAGACCAGCAAAGAGTGAAATGGCTTTTAAGACATTCTGATCAATTACTTATGCTCATAATGGCATTTATGAGCACTTACTTTTATGCCACTCATGGTGCCATGTTCCATATACATTATTTTATTTAATCCCTGTGATGACCCAACGACCTGGGTGCTTTTACTATTGTCATTTAGCAGTTGTGGGTAGTGAGACTCAGAGAATCGAGGCCGAACATTAAGTGGCAGAGCCAGGAACCAGAAAAAAAAAAAAAAAAAAAAACAAGCTGGTTTGTGATAAAGAAGTTAGTCACTTACACTCTGGAAGTAAGTCAATGCAGGCAGACAGCTTTGGTGATTTCCTGAGCACTCTTTTCTCAGCCCCTATAAGCGTGACCACCATGTCCTTTATTGGGGACTGGGGAGCTTTGATCGCACATCCCAGGGAAAGCGAGGGTGTTGGCTTCAATGGCAGACACGTGGTTAGGGTTTAGTCCAGAACCTCTAGAGAAGAGCTCAGTCCTGAGCAGGGAGTTGAGTTGCAGAGAGGGGCTAGCATGAATCATTTCTGAGAAAGCAGAAGGCCTTTCAAGAGAGGGCATGTACTGAAGGCAAGGGAGTTGTTATAATAGGAGTGTGTGAATAGCAAAGGAATAGCTCTTTAGAGTAGGAGGTGGACATTGAATCATGACGAACAACCTGGGACAGGCATGGGGGACTGAGCTCGAATGGAGTCCTTGCAAATGGAAGAGATGGCTATTTCCAAGAACGGAGAGAAAACTAGGTTTGGATTTCTGACTAATTAAGCTAGCTTTTGAATTTAGAGCTGGGAGGCAGGGTGGGGGGACTTCCGACAGAACTCTGCTGGGGGCTTTCTTCCACTTTGAGGAGCTGCCCTGGGAGGATCCGCAGAAACCCTCGCCTCCAGGGCACACTACAGAAGCCAGTCTCTGGACAGGTGGTTCATGTCCCGTTAACCACAGGCATCTCCCCCGCTGAAAATGCACCCCCACCCCCACAAGGGTGAACCGACACAGCTGCGTAAAGCCCATCACTCTCGTCACCTTCACCCAAGGAATGGCAGACGGCTCTGTGATTCTCCAGGACTCTGCCATCCGTGAAGGTGACAATGACTCAGAAATCTCATTCAGTTCACTCACAGACTCTGTGAGCTGCTGAGTCATTTAACCAGAAAGCACCTCAGTCTGGAGCCACCATTTCCCCCCCAACCACAGAATAACAATCTTTTTATTTTCCCTAAAGCAGCAACTTTTAATGATGTGTGCAGAAATCCTTTGGCTCTTTGAAAACATGCTCTACTGAGGGCTATTTGCTAAGACCAGCAATCTGCTTCTGGCACGGAGAAGGAGAAAAATATGTTGTTATCTTGAAATGATGCATGAGCTCAAGGAAACTCTGATGGGGATGAAGAGAAGCCAGAGAAAAGCTGCGCATACAACGTCTGTAAAGAAAATGTTTTATTTAAAGTGTTAAATACCATCACCAGAATGAATTTGATTTACATCAGTTGGTGTTCATTACAGGACTAATCTGCCCTTTTTTTTTTTTCTCCAACTGGAATTCCCTTTACTTTTAAAACATACTATGTACAGGGCAGCAATGGTCACTGGAATAGTGCTATTTACATGACTAAACCACAAGTCGAGGTGCAGACATGTGAAAATTAAAAAAAAAAAGATACACCAACTTTTAAATAAATACTGCATAATGACAAGTATGTACAAATATTCCATACAGTCATGTCCTTCTTATTAAAATTAGAAATAATTTATATAGGAATATGCACAAAAGATTATGTGACTGCATCTTCATATCAGGAAAATGGTAAACGTTTATTCTAAGGGAGAGTATAGACATGATAGGTCTATTAAATCAATTGCTGCTGGTACGCAAGTGTCTAAATTATTTCCATAAGGTTTTATCCGTTCTTTTAATAACTTTACCTGGGGTCCATCGTAGATCTCAGAACATCAAGACACAGTCTCGGTGTATTTCATATTGCACCACGTAAAGAGAAGGCATTTTTAGTGAGACTCATTTTAACTTTTGCACCATATCAAGCATGATAGTTTTTAATGGTCAGCATGGAATTTAAAAAGGAAAAAAAAAAAGAAGAAAGCAATATTTTTGTGCATGGCCTTAAATGGTATGTATGTGGATTTCAAAAGTTACTGTAAGAAATTAAAATCAATCTGTAAGAATGCATTATCAAAGGTTACATAAAGAAACAGAACGTATGGGTGGTTTATTACATTAACCAGTGACTTTTCCTCTCCATAGGGAAACTTGGAAACTTGGAAAATTGACCTTGCAGCACCACCCAATGGTAATAACTGTCTGTAAAACCAAAGGCAGGGGCTTGACCTTAGGGGATTTGGGGCGGAGACTTTTGGTGATGGCATCAAAGAACTATTAATAGGCAGATTGACTTTCTTTGAGTCACCTAAAAATTGGAGCTTTAAAATTATTTGTTGCATATTTATGTTTACTATATTTCTTTAGAAATATAATTTGTGAAAAATTGTATTTTACTACAGAAAAATGAATTAATAAACAGCCCTGTGTTTCAGGCTCCAAATTTTTAGCAGTGTTTTTATTCACATAGTAAATGGAAATTGGCTAAAGAAATTGCTTTAATTAATTAAAAAACAAAACCTAAGACCTTCTAGAAATAATACTGTAACCCCTGTATGAATAATGCTGGTGCTAAAAACAAATTTATTAGACATCACAATGGCCACATGATTTTAGGGTTTTCCTGTAAACTGAACTTTGAAGGAGAAAATAAAAGTACCATGCACTGTACAATAAATTGCAAAAGTTCAAATATCTTCTTTATCAAACACATGCTGACTTACTTTAATGTACTCCCAAGTCATGTTGCAAAATCCTTTTCAACATGCTTGAAATAAAGAAAGCTCTTAGTTTTTTTTTTCCCTTGAGAAATTCATAAATTCAGAAGCATCTATAGCCCTGAATCAAACATGGGGTATAAGGAGCATCGGGTCAAAAACTTGTAATCTTTTAGCATAATCACTCTGGTAGGGAGAAAGAAAACAAAAGATTAAAAGATCGAAGAGGAAAAGTAAGACAGAGAAGAGGAAGAAAGATGTGAACAATTTGCACATATTGAATTTCGTAAGATTTGTATATTTAACATGGAAATAAATGGAATATATTCTGCTTATTTGTCACATAAAGAGAATTTTAAGTATCTTCTAGAAAGTATTCTCATTTGTAATGTCTGCCAAAACACAGACTATGATTAGTTTAAAGAATAAACATGGTGTGTCTTTGTACCACCCTGTTGCATTCTCTCCCCTTTTTAAAACCATGCAATAGTGAAATTTATTTTTAAAAATAATATAAATTGTTGAAAATGGCTGATTTTTATTCTTTTTTGTTTTTTTTGCAAGTTGCAGCCCCAAGAAAATAATTTAAGTATTCAGCTAATCTGTGTCCATGCAAAAAAAGTTTCTTTAATTTCATTCAGTACAGTGTAGCCACAGAATTTTGTTTTTCAGAGTCCAACACAACGTGGCGTTAGTGAATGGCATGCCTGCCGGAGCTCTGAGTCGGCCGCCGTTCACGCTGGACTGGCTGCCCCTGGTCACCATCTGGAGGAGGGCTGACGTCCGTCCTGGACCACTTCTTTGGTCTCTTGCTTTTCACCTGATGCTTCCTAGGACTTCACTCCTTGACTTGTAACATGGCTTAATGACTGTATAGCTCCATTTCTGTGGCATAACAGGGCTTTGGGGTCAGAGAACTGAAGAAAAAGGAACGATAAAAATATAAAGGTGCCATTGAAAAGGGCTTTTGTTGCATGAAACTGACTGATTCTTTGAGATTAATCCATGGCTTCAGATTGGACCAAAACCCAAGTGTTATTGAACTCCAAATCTAATAGTTCTTCATAACTCTGCTCTTTCACCTGAGGGCCATCTTTAGGGCACAATGTGTGCAACTTCCTCTGAGAACACAGGATCGCTTTGTATCCCTAGAAACAGGCTCAGAAGACACAACATTAAGCATGCAGTGTTACCAGGGTTGGCGACCTGTGATTTTTTTTTTATTTTTTTTGTAACGCTGGTTGCTATGACAACAGTTTTACAGCTGCTATGAACGAGAGTAAGAAGGTCCGGTTGAACTTTCGAGAGATGATTGGGAAGCTCTTCTTGTCAGAGGGGCCAAGGTTGGATCTACTAGGGAGGAAGGGGGGAAAAGTTTGAACCATCCAATCACCATGTTGGATAGCTCCAGTTCATCTAAAAGTATCTGCGCCACTCCCATAAAGGATTTGTGATCCATGCGGCCATAATCTCCCCAGACAATGATCTGTTGGCAAAATACAAAGGAGGGTAGTGTCAGTAGAATTATATACACGAAAACTTGTAAACTAAAATACATTCAGTTAATGTGCTGACATTAAACATTAAGTTAACTAGTTGTATTTTAATTGCTGGGATACTTGTTTTTAACTACTGGAGTCCGAAGGTACATGGAGAAAAGTGTACTAGACTGGTACGATCATAAGCAGTCCAAGGAGATTAGAGTTTGTGTACGATGGGGCTTTGCAAGTCTAGAGCTCACTGTTAAAGAAATAACAGCATCTGTGGCTTTATAGCACCAGCCATTGTTTTGACATTTCCAAGAATTTGGACCGTAAGCAACGAAAAAGATTGCAATAAGAAGATGTGTGGGTGCAAGGTTTGACTCCATGAAAATACGTATGTGAGGGATAAACAGTTCGGTAAATACCTGTAACACCTTCCCTTGGGGACTTTCTTCGAAAGATAATAGTTGCTGGTAAAGGGGCTCCAGCGTTTTCCTTGCCACCTTTGTTTTCTTTTTGGCTATGCAGACTCCATTATCTAACAGATACACCTTTACATATGGTGCTTGGGAAAGAAAACACAGAGGGGAGGGTTAAGTGAGGAGCAATGGTTATGAAATACCCAACTCGCACGTGATAGCTACAACAGCTTACTGTCGGGTTGAAAGAGCCAGCAATCAAAAGTCACCAGTCCTGCTGCACTGTGTCACAATCATTATTTATTTATTATAAAACTGCTATTCCTCACTAACTGTTCTACATATCAGATCTCCTATACATCTCTGCACAATGTATCTGGAGTCTGTGACATTTTTTTCATGGCTCCAAGCACCTTAGATTATAACATTTCAGTATGAAATACGTGACATCACAATAAACACTGATAATGGTGCCATTCTTTCTTTGTATAATACAGGAAGTAAAAGTTTTCTAATTAGGATGTCCTGTATACAAAGGCTTTTGCTACTTTGGCAACCTGTATCTGTTTTTATTCTAATTCCAGGGTTTTAAGAATTCCCAAGGAGAATTTTGAAGCTCCAGATAAAGAATAACACAAAACATCAGCTAATAAGAAAAAGAACTTCTTCTGTATACGTTGTACAAAATTATCAAAGTGTGGTAGTTTTTATTTTGCAATGGTTTCCACTATGTACATACATATTTAACAACTTAAATTCTCCCTACCAGAACACCCTCACTGAATGCTCGCTTAGAAACATTTATTTCAGAATTTATTTTTGAGACAGAGAGAGAGACAGACAGAGCACAAGCGAGGGAGGGACAGAGAGAGCAGGAGACACAGAATCTGAAGCAGGCTCCAGGCTCTGAGCCATCAGCACAGAACACGACGCGGGGCGCGAACCCACGAACTGTGAGATCATGACCTGAGCCAAAGTCAGACGCTTAACCAGACTGAGTCACCCAGGAGCCCCACTGAATGCTCACTTAGGATCAATACACAAACTACTACAGATAACAGACTCACTTATTATTAGTATCTTTGATTATCAAAAAACCAGGTTTTCAGTATCTAATCAAAAACAAAGTCTCTGAATTGAAAAGCACAGATGGATTGCGAATAATAGAAGTGTCTCTTCTGTTATTACCTGGCAGTGTCTTGGAACCTGGTTTTACAACAAGGCCACGAGCCCGAATGATTTCCACCTCCAGTTGTCCCTTTTTGTCCATCATTCCTACCTGAATGTCACCTAGTGGCATATGAGGAAGAAACAGACAGGCCTTAGGGTACAAATGCAGTAAGAAGAGTGTGTGTGTCCAAAGACCTTGGTTTTAGATCATTCCATCATTTCTCATATATTTTCCTAAATTCAACTACATCTAAAATGTTATCAGTGATATCTTCCTTTAAAAAGCATATTTAAATAAAGTGAAAAATTGGTTAAACATTTTTGTCGGTAAAATAAAAATATTTATTCCGGTTGACAATATGGTTCAAGACCCTATGGAATCAGGGAATGTGATTTTCAATAATCTAAAAGAGAAACGATGAAACCACATGCCAGAAATTCTTACCCATTGCAGGTGTAGCCAGAGTCTGGCGCCCCACCAGCTGGGCAGGGCCAAGGCCATCCAGAAAATCACTGAATTGGCTGTCTGAGGCCAGGCGGACACCAGGGAAGATCAGACTAAAAGCAGAAGAACACGAGATTAGACCCTCAACCCGTTTACTCTCAGGCAGCTCGGGTTTCTCTCTTGCCTCCTTCTGTTGCTACCACTATTTTCCACTTATGTTAATTAGATCCTGACACCCAGCTCCACTCCCCATTGCTCTTCCTTTCTTCTTCTGTAGTGGCCCATGTGTGTCACCAGAAGCACCTGTCACACTGCACTGCAGGCTGCTGTGTGTGTGTGTCTTTCTCCTCCTCGTCTGGAGGACACGGACCGTGATTTCTATCAGTAACACTGAGCACCTGCTGAACACTTACTCCACAACAGGCACTGTCGTATGTAATCCTCGTAGCGGCACTAGGAGATCAGTTTTAATATCTAACCTGTTTTATAGATGAAGAAGCTCTTCCAGATCATTCCCAGCAGTGCACAGACATACTGTTATTCTTCCACCTTCTTAAAAAAAAATCCTTTTCCTCACTCTACTTCCTCTGCTGCTACCTACCACCCCGCTTCTCGACTAGAAACTCCTTGGGGGAGTTTACTCTATTACTATTTTTAATTTCTTTTTTCTTGTTCTCTCTTAAAACTCGATTCAGTTTTTCCTTGCTCTCTTGCTTGTCTTATTTTTCTCCACTCTACCAAAATTCCTCTGTCCAAGGTGACCTAAGGGCCACAGTGGTAAACCCAACTGTTAGTAACCGTTAGTAACTTAGGGTAACTAAGCGTTAGTAACTTTAACACCTTAGCTTCATCTGACACAATGGAGCCCTCCCTCTTCCTTGAAACATGTTTCATGAACATGAAAAATGTTCCACTTTACTCCCCAGACCCTCTGGTCCTCCGACTTTCCTCTTTGGCCACTCTACCTCAGTCTCCTTCACTGGTCCTGCCATGAAATTTTGAGACTTACTTTTTTCTGCATGCCCCAATCTTTGCAACCTCATGCAGTTTCATGGTTTTAAATGCCATCTATGCTGATATGGCCTAGATTGACATCTCCAGCTTGGACCACAGACCTGGATTTGATCTGTGCTGTCTATATACCTGCTTGCATGTCTAATAGATAACTGCTACTTAACCTGTCCCCATGGACTCCCAATCTTAAAACAAACAAAAGCCAAATTCTGTTCTTCTCAGGAGATTCTCATCTTTTTTTTTTTTTTAAATGTTTTTATTTATTTTTAAGAGAGAGAGAGACAGACAGACAGAGAGAAGAAAGCACATGTGTGTGTGTGAGCTGGGGAGGGGCAGAGAGAGAAGGGGACAGAAGACGTGAAGCAGGCTCTATACTGACAGCAGAAAGCCTGATGCAGGGCTTGAACTCACAAACCATGAAATCATTACCTGAGCTGAAGTCCGAAGCTTAGAGGACTGAGCCCCCAGGCACCCCTTAGGGGATACTCATCTTAAATAGCAACTTCATTCTTTCAATTGCCCAGCTTGGGGTAAGAATTTCCTCTTTGTTATGGACTAAACTGTGTCCCCCCAATCAATGCCTATGTTGAAGCCTTAACCCTCAGTAAAATATAGCTGGAGATAGAGCCCTTAAAAAAATTTTTTTAAATGTTTTATTTATTTCTGAGAGAGAGAGAGAGAGAGAGACAGCGTGAGCAGGAGAGAGTCAGAGAGAGGGAGACACAGAATCTGAAACAGGCTCCAGGCTCTGAGCTAGCTGCCAGTACAGAGCCCGACGCGGGGCTCAAACCCAGGAACCATGAGATCATGACCTGAGCGGAAGTCAGACGCTTAACCGACTGAGCCACCCAGGTGCCACGAGATAGGGTCCTTAAAGAGGTAATTAAGGTTAAATGAGGCCATGAGGGAAGGGCCCTAATCTAATATGACTGGTATCCTTATAAGAAGAAGAGACATCAGGGGTGCTCAGCAGGTTAAGTGTCTGACTCTTGATCTTGGCTCAGATCATGATCTCGTGGTTCGTGGGTTCGAGCCCCACATTGGGCTCTGTGCTGACAGTACAGAGCCTGCTTGGGATTCTCTCTCTCCGTCTCTCTATGCTCTTCCCCTGCTTGTGCTCACTCTCTCTCTCATAATAAGTAAATAAAAACATTAGAAAAGAAGAAGAAGGAGAAGAGACATCAGGGGTATTCATGCATAGAAGAAATATCATGTGAGCACACGCTGAGGAAGAGGCGATCTGCAAGTTAAGGAGAGAGGCCTCAGGAAAAACTAACCCTGATACAACTTGACCTTGGATTTCTAGCCTCCAGAACTATGAGAAAATGAATGTCTATTATTTAAGTTACCCAGTCTTCACTATTTTGTTAGAGTAGTTAGTGCTAGCAAATGAATACACCCTCTTTCTCTCATTACTTACATCAAATATATCAATAACTCTTATTGGCTCTACTGTCAAAATACATCCAGAATCTGACTTCACTAATGATACCCTTGTGGCCCAAGCCATTATTTTCTGTCTCTGGTATTACTGAACAGCCTCCTGAATGATCTCTCCATGGCCAAATTTACTTTTCATCTCCACCATAATCAGAGTGATCTGTTAAAATGAAAGTCAGATAGTATCAGGACTCTGCTCAAATCCTCCACTGGTTTCTCCTCCCTCTTGGGGTAAAAGAAAAGTCCTCACAATGGTATATAAAGATGATCCGAGCTGTCCACCCTGCCCCCCGCTGTCTTAATTCCTAGTCTATTACCACTCCTGCCCTTAGTCCACGGCCCTGTCCTGCCCACTGCTCGTGCCAGGCAAAGTGCTGCCTCGGAGCCTCAGCATTGCTTCAGCCTGGAATGTTCTTCCCTCAAATGTCTGTATTCTTCACATCATTACTCAAATATGTCCTTTTCCCTGTCTACCTTACATAAAACCTACCCATACCCTCTATCATCTCTCATCCTTTCTTTCTTTTTTCTCCTCAGCACTTATACTACCTAATCTACTATATACTTCACTAATTTTCTTTATATATACATATTAACAACTTTGCCTATGTTTTGTCTGTCTTATCTATTAGACTGTAAATCTGGTGAGGGTAGGGTTTGTTTTTTGTTTTATTCTGTTCTGTTCACTGATGTATCTCCAGCACCTAGAACCATGTCTGGAATACTCTAAGCACTCAATACTTGTTAAGCTCAGTTAATTAAAATGAAACTGAGAAAAATTAAATAACTAGCCCAAGTTTCTATAGTACCAAGAAACAAATGAGGACTGAAGCCTATGTGGTTCTCAAACCCATGGTCTTAACTACTGTCTGATTTTGGCCCCTTTGTATGAATTCTATTCCTTCCTCAGAATGGTGCATGGAGCACGGGAAGGCATGAAAATATTTATTGAATGAGTTTATGAGTATTCATCTCAATTTTCCAATATTATATGAACAGCTGGGGTGCCAGAGGCCCCAGTTAGGATTTTTTTGTATCCCTAACAGTATCTATCATAGCACTCCACAACGATGAGAGCTCAATGCACATTTCCCACTTTATAACCTTATTTATAAATGTATAGAAACCATACACCTCTCTTGTGTTTATATAATCTTGCTAGACTAACGTTCGCTGTGGCATATCATTGATAATCTGCCCTTATCACCTCATGTCGGCGAACTGGCTACAGGTATGTCATCTAAACATCTGATACCTTCATGGTGATGACAGAGTGCAGTCAGCAAACCCCACTTTCTTCTATTGATGTCCTTTACACATCTATCTCTGGATCTGCAGGTGCTAATTATTGTCAACTTGTTGGAGACAGGGCTACACAATCTTGACAAATGCTTTAAAAATATCTCAGCTATACTGAAGGAAAAGCTATATGCTAACTCCATAAAGGAGAGGCTCACCAACTTACTTTGTGGCATTACATCAGTATGAACTGCTCGTTACTTCATGGAGCTGGGTATGTATCAAATGTTCTACAATTTTTAGTAATAACTTAAGAGCAAAGATTTTAAAGATTAGCATTGGTCAAGTGGTGTGGCACGGGTGCTTATTCTTTCTTATTCTTTCTCTATATTACGTCAAGGAAGGGCAAACTTTTATGTGCGTGTGTTGTGACAGTCACATTTTAGCGTCCTGCTATTAAAGCAAAACACTTTCTTCCCAAACCTATCTCCCTTGACATAAAAAGCCACATAGGTCACATCTCTCAGTGGTACGTGAGCCAGAAAGAAGTTCTCTTCACAGCAGGTCAGCCAGTGAAAATGAAAATGGCACCACTGAGAGGGGGAGTTAGCTTCTGGGAAAGCACAGAGAGTGAGACAGAAGATGATCTCTGGCGAGGCATGGAAGCGATGCTCATCAAGGCTGGCCTCACTCACTTTCCTTCTGAGCTATAGCTGTTCATGCTGCCATCCGTAGATTCTCGGCTTGCCTGTCGAGTCATCCAGTTCCTCATTTCCACAGCCAGGCCCGTTTCTGTACTTCTCTGGACGGTGCTCCGCAGCTTTTTACCGCCTGCTTCTGCACAGACACAAGACAAGAGGCATGACAGCTTTGCCACCACCATCTGGCAACAAAAAATAATCAGCCAACGTGGTGAAGGTCCTCAGATGGAAAAAACTGCATAAAGACAAAGCACTCTTATTAAGGAGACAGAGAGAAAAGGTATTTGAAACAATGTCTTGTTGAGTGGGATGAAGATATTCTAAAATATCTTCAAGAATCACAAAATACCATTGTTTTATTTCCATCTAAAGCAGTGTTCAAATTGGTAACAAAAGGAACAAAAAGTTTCCACCTAAGGAAAACAAAACAAGCTTTGTTTTCATTGTAATTAAATGCAAGGTTGATTTACACCTGTCTTTTTTTTTTCTTTCTTTTGATCATAGTGAAATGATTAGGGCTTGACTTTATTTGCAAAGAATAGGTCATGGGTTAACCTCAATTCTAGCCTTAACCTTCACACGAAAACCTGATTTCGTAAGGTGATCTATATTAGAGGACAAAGAAAACTAAACAAGGGAGAGAGCCTGTCTGATAATAGTTTCACATCTGTTGTTAACTTTCAGCAAGGCTCTCAAAGGGAACGCAAAAACCCCCAGCAATGCCATGTGGAAAGAGCTTTCTAATTTGGAGTCATGGGCAGTCATGTCCACAGGCATCTTCGACGGCTTGAATATGAGATTTACTTAAAGCAGCCAATTAGAAGACCAAACAGGAAACTGAGTCAGGGACCAGAGAGGTGACAGAGTGTGCTAGTGATCTGGAGATGTCAGGGAGGAAGGAGCTTTACAGAGAGAGTGGGAGTTTAGCTGGGCTTGAGAGACGGGCACACTGGGACCAAAGTGGCAAGACGGAAGGGTTTTGGGCCTGGGGAAGGGCACGGGGAAGGGCACGGGGAAGGGCATGAAGAAAGGGATGACCATGTGCAGCTCAGGGATGGCACAAATAACCAAAGCGTACTGAAGAGTAATGGTGGGAATGTGTAGTGGAGAGATTACTAAAGGTGGGGCAACAGGGTGACAGGCCAAACGATTGTATTCACTTCCCTCTTGTCAGGACTAAATATTTATCTACACTGACCATGCATACCACCAGGTTTTTGGGTAAGCTCTTTTAGTGCCTATATTAGTAATTTCATTTTAGATCGATAAACATATGCTGATATTGACTGTGACTTCTTGAAATTCCTCTCACCACACCTCTTAGAATATTTGCTCACCATTTTGAAACACTGCTTTCAACTTCATCTATTCTCTACTTTCAATCTTAATGTACATCAAAATGCTCTAAAAAGTTTGTATCACATATAAGCTATGACCGATCTACAGCTTAGTTCCTGTAGATCAGGATTTCCTCAGTTCCTGTAAAATATCTAAGGCCGATATTTTAGAAAATTGATAGTAAACATGTTGTACTGATATGAACCATAAGACAATCTAAAGCATCCCTTCTTACTTCTGAGGGAAGTCTCTTCTTTACAGAAAGTGTTAGTTAACAAATGTAAAAGGAATGATAAAAAATTTTAAATGGCCAATTTGCAACTTTCGATGCAATAAATGATTCCGGTAAAGCGCATCAATGGATGCTAACAGCATTAGATGAAAGGATATTCATATTAGCCCCCCTGTCCCCAACATCATTTCACGATTTAGTTCTACTTGTTAAAGGTAAACATGTACTTGAACACTGGGAGACCAGCCACGTATCACCATCTTAATGAAGCGATCAAACTTAGTAGCACTGATAGTGGGACAATCATAATGAGCCTCCCGAGTAAGATACCTAGTACCTAGTACCACCTATCGAGTTATTCTAGACAAAAATACACAACCTATTTCTAATCAGATCTTTGGAACCAACTTAGAGCTTTCAAAAACACAGAGGATAGAGTAAAAGATAAATGACACAATAAAAAAATATTAGACAAACCTAGAGCATGGGTTTTGTTCAAGAGAATTGGCTTAGTCTCTTTAAAAACTTAATATCATGAAAAAAAAAGTTAACATCATGAAAATAAACAAACTAAGAAGATAGGGGAATTGGTCCACATTTTAAGATATCACAGGGATGTAACCATTAAATGCAATGAGTATACTTTGGTTTCTTTTTGGGAAAAAAATAAAAACAAGAAACGCTCGAAGCAAAACATTCTAAAAGCAATTTTAGGACAAATATGGAAAATCAGAACATGGATTGGATATTACACAGGATAAGAAAATTGTTAATTTTCCTAATAATAATGGCATGTGTTATAAAAATTTCCTCATCATTATAGACATATGCTGAAGTACGTAGACCTGAAATGTTCTATTGACTGTAACTTCCTTTCAAATAGTAGAGCAAAAATACACATATACACAAAAAAGGGAAATTTTTTTTTCTTTTAAAGAGTAGAGATGAAGAAGAGACTCTTGGTACTCATACATTTAATATTTTTGATTATTTGACAATGATCCCCAAATGGGTATGTCGAAAAGTCATACAATTGTGTCTAGGGAGAGCTGGGATCATGGTGCCAAGCTGTTGTGCCAGAGCCCAGCCAAGGGCTAGGATCCTGGCCTCTCTGTGTGGCAACCGTAAGATAGATCACCTCCAAGTGAGACGTAGCACTTCACTGAAGCTGGAAACGTGGAATAAAGAGATGGACAGGAAACATATGACTTTTAAAGGAAATGAGATTCCTAAAGGACACACAGCCTTCTCACTTGACATCAGGCTCCACCATCACAAGAGTGACTTGCAAACCTGCCATTACAGGTTGAGGAGGATCAGCTACCCTTTGTCAAAGAGCAACAATACAACAAGCTTGTAGTCCTCGTGTTTACAGACTACTTTCTACCTGCAATCTCTTCAGAACAACTCCAACAGTCCGCATTTCACAGACACAGCATCCATGGGTCCTGGCAGCTTACACAGAAACTGACAGAACTGAAATTTACACACAGTTCCCCGACTCCCAATTCTCTGCTTTTTGCTGGTTAGTTATCAGAATACAGCCAGTGGGTAGCCTGTGTGGCTAACTCTATAACTACATCCGGAAGGCCCTCCTAGAAGCAGCTGGTGAGGTAGAGAGAGTGGGGTACACTGATGGGGTCAGGCCCTGGTGTCAGACTGTTTCTCTTTGAACCCCCATCTAACCACATACAAGCTGGTGACATCGAGAGAGTGACTTACTCCCTCTTTGACTCAGGTTTTTCAAACTGTCTAATGGCAGAGGCACGGATGCCTGCCTCATAGGATATTTGTGAAAATAAGAAAAATAATATATTTTAAGTGCTTGGGAAAGTGCCTGATACATGGAGAATCTTCAATTAATGGCTCTGTCATTACTATGACTACCAGGTAGGGAATCAGAAAACGTGTTTTCTAAGCCAATCTCTACTACTAACTAGCTGACTGTGGTTTTATCTGAATCATATTCGCTGAGTCTCTGGCTCCTCATTTATGAAAAAGGCAGGGAATGGGGGGTGAATGGGTGACAGATGATCTCTGCTATCTTTTTTTTTTTAAATTTTTTTTTAATGTTTTATTTATTTCTAGGAGAGAGAGAGATAGAGAGACAGCGTGAGCAGGGGAGGGCCAGAGAGAGAGGGAGTCACAGACTGAAGCAGGCTCCAGGCTCTGAGCTGGCAGTCAGCACAGAGCCCGACACGGGGCTCGAACCCACCAACTGCGAGATCATGACCTAAGCGAAAGTCGGACGCTTAACCGACTAAGCCACCCAGGCGCCCCGATCTCGCTATCTTTTATCTATAAAGTCTATGAGTCTGTATCATTAGCGTATGACCAAGACCATGATTAATAGCATACATTAAGGAGATGTTACTTATTGTCATCTGATGGAATCAAAGAATTCTATGTAATATGCTGCGTTTATAAGAGCTCTTTATGTCTTCTAAATATACATTTATCTGATACACACATAAACTTATTTAAAAAGTAAATGTATTTTTCAGTATTACAAATCTTTCCTATCACATTCACAATAAAAATAATTTAGTCTAAATATAATTGATCATGGAGATTCACATTTAATGATCTGAAAGCTCTGTCCTATCACTCAACCTAAAAACTGAATCTGAGTAACAGTGGATTTTGGTGTCTACATAAAGTCAGTGTAGTAGCCAAAACTCTAAAATGGCCCCATGTCATGTTACTTTATATGGCAAAAAGGATTTTGTAGATGTTATTATGTTATGTTATTAAGGTTACTAATCAGTTGATCTAAAGATAGGGAGATCTAAAGATCAGGGGTGCCTGGGTTGGTTAAGGGTCCGATTTTGGCTCAGGTGCTGATCTCACAGATTGTGGGTTTGAGCCCCGTGTTGGACTCTGTGCTGACAGCTGGGAGCCTGGAGCCTGCTTCGGATTCTGTGTCTCCCTCTTCTCTCTGCCCCTCCCTAGCTCACACTCTGTCTTGCTCTCTCTCAAAAATAAAAAAAAAAACTTAAAAAATTAAAAAAAAATAGGGAGATTATCTGAGTGAGCCTGACACACCCACATGAGCCTTTTGAAAGCAGGTGCTTTCTTTGGCTAATTCCAGAGGAGTCAGTGATGGAGATGTGAAACACGAAGGACTCAGTGTACCTTTTTTGTTAAAGATGGAGGGAATCATGTGGAAAGGACCTGTGAACAGCAGCCTCTAGCTGCCGAGAATGATGCCTGGCTGAGAAGCAGCAAGAACACAGGGGCCTCGGGCCTACAACTGTAAGGAACCGGATTTCACCAACAACTTGAATGTCTCTGAAAGCAGTTTTCCCCTAGAGCCTGCAGACAGTAACTTAGCCCAGTCAACACCTGGCTTCAGCGACGTGACATCCTCAGCAGAAAACTGAGCCATGCCACCCCAGATGTGTGATTTACAGAACTACGGGACTAACACATGAACTAATTAATTAGTTAATTAACTAATTAGTTAATAAGTGAATGTTGTCTTAAGCTGTTAAATTTGGGAAAACCATTAAGCAGCAATAGGTGATTTCTTTAGATACATTTTCTTTTAAATAGCGAGATCTATA